GCGTCCTCGAACGCAGCCCCACGCCTTCACACAGCCCGGCCCTGGCCGCGGGGCCAGCCCCAGGCCCCACACCCTCCAGACTCAAGGTCAGTCTGCCGGGCGCTGCGGGCCACGTCCTGTTAGCGTAATGGGGGGGCAGGCCGCTGTCAGTGCCGCCAAGGAGATGCCTCGTCCTGGAGCCGTTTACGTGTGACGCAGCCTTGCCTGTGCGCACCCCCAGACTGGCCTGCTGTCTGCAGTGGCCAGCGACAATGAGCGTGGCTCACACTGGACGCCGTGCACATGCACGTGACCTGCACGAGCTCACCTGAGCGCCGGACAGTCCTGTTGAGACGCAGACTGAGGCCCCGGCGGGGGCCCTCTCCTGTCGCTCAGCCTGAGGACGGGGGCGCTGGCCTTTGAACCCAGCTCCCCTGTGAGGCCCAACTGCATGGGCGTGTGCCGCAGAGCGAATCCAGGCACGAGCCTGGCTGGCGCCGACTACCTGAGTTGACTCCCCTCTTGTTTTTCAAAGGAACATCGTTTGCTGGCAAACGAGGGGGTCGTTAGCTCCCTGGAAATGGGTCACTGGGTGCCAGACGGGGCCTCGTGCCCGTCGGGGGTAGCTGTGGCCAGTGCTGCCCTCTAACAGGACCCTTGCCTGCCTGTCCTGTCACGGACCTCTCAGCTTTTTACGTGGGCACAGCCCACCTGGTAGAGGAGGAAACCGGGCCCAGCGAGCCCCGGACATGTGTGCGTGTACCGCAGAGCTCCTTACGAAGAGGGAAAACAGGCTGGAGCGGGCTCCTCTCGTGACGGGGTGTCGGAGTGGGCTGGGGGCGTGTGACCGTCTTTCAAACGTTCGGGAGGATACAGTCGAAGCCGGGAAACCAGCCTGACTTCCCAGCCAGGGGCCCTGAGCAAGGGTGAGGCGAGGGCCCGGGGGCCTGGGAGCCGCTCCCGAAGGTCTGAGACACCTCCCCAGAGCCCGCGAGTGCGGGGTCTGAGCTTGCTCCTGCCATCAGCTGGTCACCCACTCCACATGTTCAGAGCGTGGAGGGTCAGGTTCAAGAGGAAACAGCAGGCGAGAGCAGGTCCCTGGGGGCCGAGGGCCGAGGCCGCCCCCGCCTCTGGCTCCACTCCCCACCCCAGGAGCACCACGGCTCCCAGGTGCCTATTTATCGGAATTTTACTGTGAGCAAACCAAGCCGGACACGCCGGTCACTGGCTGGAGGTGGCCCTGGCCGCGGGGGCGCTGTGGGCCAGCCCCACCGTTGAGGCAGAGTCCGCCCGTCCTCCTGAAACCCCTGGTGCCGCCCAGTTTCCAGGAGCTGCCTGGGGCCCGCCAGGGATGGAGGACGCAGGTCCCTGCCGGGCGGGAGAGCCAGGCCGGGCGGCGCAGTGGCCCGGGAGAGCCAGGCTGGGCAGCGGCCAGCCAGGGCAGGGCCGTCAGGTTTCCTTCCAGTTCTCCAGGTGCTTCTCCCTGTCCCTGGAGGACGCGCCCAGGGCTGCGCTCTCCGGCGGGGGAGGGGAATCGGGGCGGGGCCGCCTGGGCTGGGCATCTGCTTCGCCTGCCCGGGGAGGGCCGGTCCACCTTCCTAGGTGACCCTGACGGCTGCCCGGGCCCCGGCAGCTTCTGTGGACAAGTCCTGGGGGCACTGTGACCCGCTAGCTCCGTCACCCTTGCTTGACGGGCGGAGCGTGGTCCTGCGGCCGTGGCGCCACCCCGCCGTGGCCCTGACCCCACAGGGCGCCTCCCGGAGAGGAGCATCCGCCCCTCCTTGCTCCCCCTTCAGGGGGACCCTAGTCCTTCAGGCTCTGAGCATTTGCGGTAAAATCACCTGGTGATGGTGGGCCCGCTTCCTGCTGGACGAAGCTGCCAGGGGACTCTGCCTCACCGGTGGGGCTGGCCCACAGCGCCCCCGCGGCCAGGGCCACCTCCAGCCAGTGACCGGCGTGTCCGGCTTGGTTTGCTCACAGTAAAATTCGGATAAATAGGCACCTGGGAGCCGTGGCGCTCCAGGGGTGGGGAGTGGAGCCAGAGGCGGGGGGCGGCCTCGGCCCTAGGAGACCGCAAAGGGGAGCCGGGCCCGCACAGGCCAGCTGCGGTTGCCTGGGCCCTGCCCGCGGGCGCCCCGGCAGGTGGGGCGAGCCTGAGTGGCGCTTGGTCCCCAGGAGGTGTGCAGCGAGCTGTGGTGTCTGAGCAAGAGCAACAGGTGCATCACCAGCAGCATCCCGGCGGCCGAGGGCACCTTGTGCCAGACGCACACCATCGACAAGGGGGTGAGCGCCGCCAGCCCCCAGGCCCCCGCGCGGGCAGCGTGGAGCCCCTGGACGGGCCCCTGCGCCCGGTCTTGAGTCCGCTCCTCGACCTCCCGCTTCCGCCTGTGGGGAGCAGGGAGGGGCCCTGGAGGGCCGGAGACAGCACTGGGCTCACCCCTCCTGTCCCCCCACAGTGGTGCTACAAGCGGGTGTGCGTCCCCTTCGGGTCGCGGCCGGAGGGCGTGGACGGGGCCTGGGGCCCCTGGACCCCGTGGGGTGACTGCAGCCGGACCTGCGGCGGGGGCGTCTCCTCGTCCAGCCGTCACTGCGACAGCCCCAGGTCAGCCTCAGACCCTGGCCGGGAGAGGGGCGGCCTGCCCCCCCTCACCCGGCCCCTCCCCCCAGGCCGACCATCGGGGGCAAGTACTGCCTGGGCGAGAGGCGGCGCCACCGCTCCTGCAACACCGAGGTGGGTCCCCCGCGGCCCGGGCCCGGTCCCCCGCTTCCTGGGCCCACCGCCACACCCGCTACCTCCACCACGCTGCGCCCCTGCCTGCACCCCTGTCCGAGCCCAGCAAGCGTCCCCCCCCGAGCCCCGCCCCGCCCCCAGGCCCCCCTGCCTGCGTCCCCAGCGCCCAGCTCCTACCTCCTCTTCCACACTTCTCCTTTGCTGACCTTTTCTTAAAACTCGGGGTTCCCCGTGACAGTACTGGGTGTCCGTGAGTCTGTGCACATGCCCGATGAGCGCCAGGCCTACAGGAGGGGTGCTCTCAAGGGGGGGCTGCTGTGAGCCGCCCCCGGCCAGCGCCCCCAGAGGGCACCTGTCTCCTGGATGCGAGCCCACACCCCAGCACCTGCCCCCGAATGCCCCGCCCTTCGCTGGGCCCTCACGCTCCAGAGGACAGTGGCCTGAAGCCGCCAGACCTCTCTCAAGCCTCCGGGCCCCGCCCCAGAGACACCTGCCCTGCACCCCCGCTGCCTGGGTGGGGCCTCGGCCACTGTCCGCTGCCCTGGGTGTCCACGACCCCTCCCGGCTCCCGACTCACCCGCCCCTGCCCTGGCCACCGCTTCCTGGCCCCTAGGCTGCCTGACTCCCTGTACCCACCTCCCGCCCTGTCCAGGACTGTCCCCCGGGCTCCCAGGACTTCCGGGAAATGCAGTGCTCTGAATTTGACAGTGTCCCCTTCCGAGGGAAGTTCTACACGTGGAAGACGTACCGGGGCGGTGAGTGGGGGTCGGGAGGCCGGGGTGCGGCCCCGGCAGCCAGGCCCAGCCAGGTCAGGCGGCCTGCCGGTCCCCGAGGGGCGGCCCTCCCGGTGTCCCCTCCCCCGGGTGCCGGGGGCGCCCCATCTGACGGGGCCGCGCCCTCCAGGGGGCGTGAAGGCCTGCTCGCTCACGTGCCTAGCGGAAGGCTTCAACTTCTACACAGAGAGGGC